TAATGAAATAAATCCACTTAGATAGGAGTGACTACTGAAGATTAAAGCTCCCAAGGGCTTTTATATTTTAAAAGAAATGATTGCTAAATCCAAATTAAACTAATATATAAAATAGGACATTTTTAAGCCAGGAGGCAGTGCATTCCTAGTGCCCTTTGTCCACACTGGGCTGACAGCACCCCAGTTGGTAGCCACATGTAAGGAGAAACTTAAGCCATTGCTGGGCTCCCTTCTTTTAAAAGACTGCCAAGCTCTGGCCTTGCTACAGTTCTGAGCTCATCCAGCTGGGTTTGTGTCTGTAACCCACTGAAAAAGTGACTTGTTCAGTAGGGGTGATAGGAGGTAGGGACCAGGATTTCCAAAACAATTATTCTTATTATAAGACTTGCATGTACTCTACCTCATACTTTAGTAATTTATAGAACACTTCTATCCCAACTACAAGACTGTAAGCTCCTTGGAAGCAAAGCAAAGTGTCTGACTTATACCTTCTCCAAAGACTGCTGCATTAGGCCCAGATTGGGTGAGGATTACTTAGGGTTACATGACTTGTTAATGGCAGGACCAGAAATAGAACTCGTGATTTCCTCGTGCCATATACCAACCTAGTGTTCTGTCCGTTCTACCTGTTTCAGTTATCTGTTGCAGCCTAACACAGCGCTCCAAAATTCCACTCCCTGAACAGCAACACTGTTACTTCTCGTAGGCTTACGGTCAGGCATTTGGTTGGGCTGTTCTGCTTCGTGTGACATTGACTGGGTCGCTCACTTAGCTGGCTTCAGATGGATTGGGCAGAAAGGTCCCGGAAGATTTCATTTCCATGTCTAGAACCTCAGTGCTTCTCCCATGGCCTCTTTCTCTCCATCTTTTCTCTTCTCTCTTTCAGTATTCTAGCCTGAACTTCTTTACAGCTTGGTAGCCATCTTCCTCTAGCAGAAGTAAGCAGAAGTTGGCAGGCTTCTTACACTAGTCCAGAACTGACAGTGTGACTTTTACTGCATTCTCTGGGTCAAGGCAAGTCACAGGCCAGCCCAGATTCAAGGGGAGGGAAAACAGACACTACTACCTCTCAATGAGAGGAACAGCATATACACTGAGGGAGGGAGGGAATTGATGGTGGCCATCTTGGAGACTAACCATAACCACAGTTAACCAGCAGATGTAGCTTTCTCTCCCTAATTCCTAGTGCCCTGACAGAACAGGAAAAACTCAAGCCTGTGCAGAAACAAACGAGAAAAGGGAGAAGAAAAATGCCCCGAAACACCCCATCCCTTTCCATCTCAAAGCCCAGCCAAAGAGTTAGAAAGGTGGCACCCGCCTACCCACCCGCCCTTCTGATCATTCCTTGGCTGAGTTACTTCTGGTCGTTATTTGAGCTGCTCCTTTTGTGCTATATGTAAGGAGCACGATTAGTGCTGGTGTATCCTACAGTGGGCATTTTACAATAATTTGGTTTTAGAGCTACTGCTATGTCTGTTTTCTGTGTCAGGCTTTTAAATGCCTATTTCTAAAGGCTCATTCTCTATGTAGTAGTTAAAAACAATACTTTTCAGTGCTGTGTTGTATATTGCTGAAATGTAACACACCTACAAGTAACCTTTTCAACTGTTAATTTCCATCTATAAGTCAAAGTATACTCCATTGCTAAGAAAAAAAGCAGATCTCATTAAGTTTCTCCTGCTTTCTTTTTAACAACACAGAAGATTCTTATGTGAAAAAATAAGCACCTAAGACTGGAAAATCAATTTTCTAGCCTATTCAGCCTCTGGCAACATCCTTTCTTTGTATTCTCATGAACTTGGCTTAAAAATTCCTACAAGATGAGGATTACAGGCATACTTTGTTTTATTGCACTTTGCAGATATTACATTTTTTACAAATTGAAGGTTTGTGGCAATCTTGCATCAAGCATGTCTATCTAATGGCACCATTTTTCCAATAGCATTTGCTCACTTCATGTCTTTGTGTCACATGTTGGTAATTCTTGCAGTATTTCATTCAGATTCATTCATTATTAATGTATTTGGTGATCTGTGATAAGTGATCTTTGATGTTACTATTTAAGTGTTTAGCGGTGCCACCAACTGCACGCATTTGAGATAATGAACTTAATAAATGTGTGTGTTCTGACTGCTCCATTGACCATTTCCCCATCCGTCTCCCCCTCCTTGGGCCCCCTATTCCCTGAGACACAATATTGAAATGAGGCCAATTCATAACCCTCCAGTGACCTCCACGTGTTCACGTGAAAGAAGAGTCACACATCTCTCACTTTAAATCAAAAGCTAGAAATGATTAAGCTTAATGAGAGAGGAATGTTGAAAGCTGAGATAGGCCAAAAGCTCGCCCTCTGGTACCACACAGTTAGCCAAGTTGTGAACGCAAAGGAAAGTTCTTGAAGGAAATTAGAAGTGCCGCTCCAGTGAACACAGGAATGATCAGAAAGAGAAACAGCCTCATTGCTGATAGGGAGAAAGTCTGAGTGGTCTGGATGGAAGATCAAGCCGGCCACAACATTCTCTTAAGCCGAAGTCTAATCCAGAGCAAGGTCCTAACCCTCTTCAATTCTATGAAGGCTGGGAGAGGTGAGGAAGCTGCAGAAGAAAAGATTGAAGCCAGCAGCGGTGGGTTCATGAGGTTTAAGGGAAGAAGCCGGCTCCATAACATCAAAGTGCAAGGGGAAGCCGCAAGTACTGATGAAGAAGCTGCAGCAAGTGATCCAGAAGATCGAGCTAAGATAACTAATGAAGGTGACTGCGCTAAACAACACATTTTCATTGTAGATGAAAACAGCCTTCAGTTGGAAGAAGATGCTGTCTAGGTCTTTCGTAGCTAGAGAGAAGGAGCCAGTGCCTGGCATCAGCTTCAAAGAACAGACTGACTCTCATTAGGGCCTAATATAGCTGGGGACTGTAAGTTGAGGCCAGTGCTCATTGACTGTTCTAAAAATCCTAAGGCCCTAAGAATTATGCTAGAATCTACTCTGCCTGTGCTCTATAAATGGAGCAACAAAGCCTGAATGACAGCACATCTATTTATAACATGGTTTACTGAATATTTTAAGCCCACTCCTGAGACCTCCTGCTCAGAAAAAAAGAAAGATTCCTTCCAAAATATGACTGCTCATTGATAATGCATCTGGTCAGCCAAGAGCTCTGATGGAGATGTACAAGATTAATGTTGTTTTCTTGGCCACTAACACAGCATCCATTCTGTAACCCATGGATCAAGGAGCAATTTTGACTTTTAAGTCTTACTATTTAAGAAATACATTTTGTAAGGCTCTAGCTGCCATTGATAGTGATTCTTCTGATGGATCTGGGCAAAGTAAATTGAAAACTTTCTGGAAAGAATTCACCATTCTAGATGCCATTAAAAACATTAATGAAGCATAGGAAGAGGTCAAAATATTGACATTAACAAGAGGTTAGAAGAAGCTGATTCCAACACTCTTGGATGACTTTGAGATGTTCAAGACTTCAGTGGCGGGAAGCCACTGCAGATGTGGTGGAAATTCAAGAGAACTAGAATTAGAAGTGAAGCCTGTAGCTGTGACTGGATTGCTGCGATCTCATGATAAAACTAATAGATGAGGAGTCGCTTCTTATGGATGAGCACAGAAAGTGGTTTCTTTCTTCAACCACCACTCTGATCAGTCAGCAGCCATCAGTGTGGAGACAAGAGTTCTCAACAGCAAAAAGCTCAGATGATAGCATTTTTAGCAAAAAAGTATTTTTTTAAAGATTCTATTTTTAAGCAATCTCTACACCCACTATGGGTCTCAAACGTACAACCCTGAGATCAAGAGTCACATGCTCTACTGACTGAGCCAGCCAGGTGCCCCGCAATAAAGTATATACATTGTTTTTTTAGACATAATGCTATTGCAGACTTAATAGACTGCAGTATAGTGTAAACATAGCTTTTTTTAAAATTTATATAAGCACAACTTTTATATGCACTGGGAAACCAAAAAATTCATTTCACTCACTTTATTGTGATACTCTCTTTATTGTGGTGCTCTGGAACTGAACCCACGGTATCTCTAGGGTCTGCCTGTATTCTCTCGCCTTGAGAAAAATTCTCTTAATCTTCTAAATTTCCTTGAGAAATTTTTTTGCATGTATGTTTTTTCCCTTAAAAAAAGACTTTTTTGTTGTTGTTATTGTTACAGTTAGATTGTCTTTTACCATTTAGATAATTATTCAACCCAGAGTATTTTTTCCTAGAAACAATCACATAAATAAAATTCTCTGGTGTCATATCACAAGAGGAAATGTAAGAGCAGCTATTTATGGGCTGTAGGGGCAAAGCTTTTCCAAGTGCTTTGGGAAATCTTTATATTTTAAGAGATTATCATTGTCTCTGGTTTCCCAAATGTGTGTGAGGAAATGTAATGTTCTTGTACCCAGCTGTCTAGGGAGTAGGGTCCACTGAAATGGCATTTATTCTCTGAATTTGTATAGCCCAGTTATTGAAGATATTATGTGGATTCTTTTTGTACAGGGTTGTATGGGTAAGCATTAACACATGGCACAAAGCTCGGATTCAAGTCCAGATTTTTTTAAAACTCCACTTCACCCTTTCTCTTATTTTGCTGGTGGTGGCAGTGGTAGGTTTGCTCTTGTTTATTTGCTATTTTCTTTTGTTTGTCTGTGACTGAAAAGACATTGTGCCTCTTTAAAATCATCCAAATCATTTGGAGACCTTTGGGGATTTTATTTGAATTTCTTAAAATTTCCATACCAGGGTGCCTGGGTGGCTCAGTCAGTTAAGCATCTGACTCTTGGTTTTGGCTCAGGTCATGATCTCATGGGTCTTGAGATTGAGCCCCACATCGGGCTCTGCACTCAGTGGGGAGTCTGCTTGAAGATTCTTTCCCTCTGCCCCTCCCCCCAACTCAAGTGCACACATTCTCTTTTTCTCTCTCTCTCTCTCTAAAATAAATCTTTAAAAATAAATAAAATAAAATTTCCATATCTTTACCCCTTTCATTTTAGGAAGAAGAATTAGAAGCCCAAATTTCCTTCCTTCAAGGACAGTTGAATGACCTGGATGCCATGTGCAAATACTGTGCAAAGGTGATGGACACTCATCTAGGTGAGTGAGCTACTTTGGCCCTGGGAGTAATGATAGTCATCACAACAGTATCTAGTTGGCCCTGGGTTAAACTTTCCACATGCATTATCTCATTAATCCTCACAGCAGCACTATGGTAGAGGTACTTACTATCCACATTGTACAAATGAGGAAACTGAAGCACAGGAAGATTAATACAATTTCCGAAGATTATGTCACTAGTAAATAGAGTAGAAATTAAAAATCAAGCAGTTCGACCATAGATTTCAATTCTCAACTGCTACACTACCTTTTGTAAATATCTGTCTACCTTAAACCAAAATGAAATGTTGAGCTTTCAAGGGGCACCTGGGTGGTGCAATCGGTTTAGTGTCTGACTCTTGGCTTTGGCTCAGGTTGTGATCTCAGGGTCGTGAGATCGAGCCCCACATTGGGCTCCATGGTCAGTATGGAGGCTGCTTAAGACTCTTTCTCCCTCTCCCTCTGCCCCGCCTCCCCCGACGCTTACGCTCTCTCTCTCTCAAATAAATAAATCTAAAAAAAAAAAATGTTGATCTTTCAAAATCAAATAGTTCTACTGTTGTGCCAACCTGTCTGTAATTACCAATGTGATCATTATTTTGACAATGCTTTATTTTTTTTTTAATACATGTTTTTAACCACCAGCGTGAAATGCATGTCAGGATCACATGACCTTTTCTTACTTCTGACTGCTTATATTCTAAGAAATGTTCTAGTTTGAAGTTCCATTTACATGTGAGTCATATATATGTCACATTAGAAAGTCTTCAGGCATTATTCTCTACATTTGTGAAAGTTCTGTATTTTTTATTAGAAATGGTCTCTGCTGGATCATGTATGTTTTACTTTAGCGACTCTGTTCTGCTTGCAGGACTTTAGGATGCAGACTATTAGTGTTTTTCAGCCCTCTTATGGGCATCCTTTCTTTTTCCATTCTTTGGTGTCTAGCATCTGTAGTTTGGGAGCAAATTAGGAAAATAAAACCTATACTCTAATGGAAAGGGCCAATATTGCTGCTCTGTGAGTGTGGACAAATGGCAATACCAAGTATTATAAGAAATCAGGATGCATCCCACATATGAGGGAAACCAAAGAGAATCCACCAAGGCCCCTTCCCCCTGGCAGGGGTCCTAGGAGTAGCCAATCTATGGGGCCTTTGTGGAAGGTGGACTCTCTCCTTGGACTCCAGTGATCTCTCAGCCTGTTAGGTCATGAGTCCATTACACGCGGTCAAAATGGCTGTCATTTAAGTGTAGCCTGAACCATCCTGGCCTCTAGCAAGATGTAAATGTTCTCTTACAGTTGGGGAGGTGCTTGACCTCAGGGGCTGGTTGTCTACCAGGGTCTTACTAGGCAGCTGGCTGGGCCCTTTGCTAGCCTCAGCCTTATTTCTCCTCTCTTGACCACTCCTTCAGAGGAAGAGCTCAAGAGGGAGAAATAACAGGAGAAACCCCAGCAGGTGATCAAAAGAGTGGTAGCTCTTGTCACAGCAAGAAATGTTACCCTTGTCACGTCTGATCTACTCCTGTCACAGCGGTTCATTTATATGCTTCATTATGATCATTTTTTAAAAATTCAGATAGAACTAAGTTTCATGAATCTCATAGCATCCCACTTAATTTTTTTTTTAAGATTTTTATTTATTTGAGAGAGAGAGAGATAGCGAGAGAGAGAGCACAAGCAGGGGGGAGAGGGAGAGAGATCTGAGCAGGGAGCCCAATGTGGGGCTCGATCCCAGGACCCTGGGATCATGACCTGAGCCGAAGGCAGACGCTTAACCAGCTAAGCCACCTAGGCACCCCTCATAGCATCCCACTTTCAAATGTATCAAAAAGAAGTAATGAAGAGAGATAGTTTATATATAATGTATATTATATAACTAATTTTAGTTAAATATAATTTTAATTTCAAAGCAAGTATGTGGGTGGGTGTATATGTGTATGTTTGCTTCTCTGGCTATGTGGGTGACCTTTGCATTGTTTGATTTGGGTTTTGACCAAAGTAGTGACTGAGAGAAAGATTTACTGGAACTTTAGAAAATCCTGTTAGGAAATATCTAAGTTGTTTGGTCCACATAGCAGCTTTTAAAGCAGCTTTACTTAAGCCTCAGAATTTTCAAAGTGCTTTTGCTCTTATTTCGGTCTCTCAATCAGCACTGTAAGAGTATTTTCTCATTGCATGGGAGGGGGAAACACTTTAATTAAAGAAAAGCCCATACCAGATGTGAATTTTCAACTAACCGCAAAACTAAATTTGTTTTTGTGTGTACGTTTCACTTTCAGCCAGAATCCCTTCATATAGCTGTCAACTTCTTTTCTCCATATAAATAGCAGGACTGCCTTTTTAAAGTAGGATTGAAGGATGCTATAAAGAATCCTGGGCCCCAGGGCCCACAGATGGATTTCATTTCACCTGCCTATTGGTTTATTAAAGGGTATTCCTGTGTTGTAGGCAGTTTTGATTCCAAGCCAAAATTTGAGGAAGACAAAAAAAGGTTAATTAAGGTGAAGCTCTTGATTTACTTTTTGGCCTACTGTATTTCCTTTAAAAATCACTTCAGTACCCTAGTATTTTTTCCATATGATGTTTTCTATTTTTACTGATTATTAAGGCAGTACAAAATTGGAACAACTGAAAAACCCATTAGTAAGTGACTGATTATAACATAGTGTAATGTAACCTTAATATGAAATATTAAAATAGTTATTTATTAACATAAGGAGATGTTCATGCTATATTATTAAGGGAAAAGACAGGTAGCACAATAGTATATATTTGATGTAAAAATAACCATTAACAGTGATGGCCTGGATGAAAGGAAGATTATAGGGGTGGGTACTCTCCAGGGGTCCTAATTTTTTATGCTTGGGAAATGCAGGACAGTCACTGAAAGTCTATAGATGGCTGAAGCGCCTGGATGGGTCATCTTTACACTCCAAGCAAGAGTCAGTTGTAAGAGTGTCTGGAGTGGTGTCAGGAAAGGCAGCCTTGTGTGGCATCAGACCGACACAGGGTGAGATCAGACTCTGTCACTTTCTTAGCCCAGCCTGCTTATGATCATGTCTTCATATGTACAGCGGAGACACAATTATCTACCTTGTCAGTTTGTTGCCAAGACAAATGTTTTTAAAGCCCAGCACAGGGAATGGCCCAAAGTTGGGTTTTCAACACAAATTCTCTCCTCTGTCCCCTTAATTCCTAACTGTCCCTTCTCAGGAAAGATCCTGAGACACTCATCAAGCCTATGACCAGAGTGCTGAGTATTCACTTGTCTAGGCCCCTACAACTAGTTAGTGGGAGAAGGAGGACCAATGCCAAATTTCCCAACACCTAACTAAATATTCCTTTATCAAATTATTCAGAAAGATGCTGGAATTTGGGATATGCCGGTCCTAAGATGAGGCATGGGAGCTCTTTGAGCAAGAAAGAATAGCTTTAGCAGAACAGAATGATGCGGCCTCCTTGCCATGAGTGCTGCTGGGCCTCCATTCTGCCCTGGGCCACAGGCTACCATGGTAGTTCTGGGAACTGCCTCAGAAACTTGTTCTAACAGGTCTTTCTCTGTATCCTCTCCTAATGTTAATTGTTTTCACTAGGTTCCTTTTGTTTCAAGACAATTCCATTTCACCCTTCGGTTTCATCAGACATGCAGTAATGCCTTAAAATGTCAAGTACAGTTCAGGGCTCTTTTTATAACTGCCAAAATAAATACAGAGAAAAACCTCTCAGTTAAAAATTATATAAAGGCATTTGTTCAAATGGTCCTTTAATTATAGAGATGATAACATTGATAGGTTAGCAGTTCTTTCCTTATGGTCCTGGAACCCAAAACTTTGGATTTTGTTTTATCGAAAGGAACATTTGTTTTATCGAAATGCTACCAAGATTCTAATTTTCTGACTTCCACGTAATTGAACTGCTTGAATTCAAAGACTGAGAGACAGGAATTGAAAATACATGTTTTGTTAAACCTAACTTTCCTGTCAACTTCAGAAGACTTGTTTTACGTGTTCATTTTTCAGTTGCTATAGTTACTCCCCTTCCTGTCATCCTGACAGTTGAGTTAAAAGCCATTGACAGGATTAACCTCTGTGGCTGAGCTCAGGCTATTTTTAGATTTGCCGTATTTTTCGCATAACTGCACGTGGGTAAGCAGCCCACGCTTCTCTGATCTGTGAGCAGCTGGGCTGAGCTGCCGTCTGTTTACAAGGAGCACGAGCTGCTCACCCTGCTGGCCCTAAAGCCGGCACCTGCCGGCTGCCACCAGAGGTATTTCCAGTCCTCCGCTTGCCGTTTAGATGGTGGTTTCCAGCCCCTTGCCCTTTTGTGGGTGGTTTGTGGTAACAAAGGCAGGGTTAAATGCAGGGAATCAAGGGCAGTTAGGTTTCCCAGAGTGCTGTAGCTCCTATGATCCTAGAATGCTGAACATCTGGAAGTTCTAAAAGCCAGCTCAGCAGTTCTTCATTTCACAGATGAGGACACCAGGTCCGGAGAGGAGGAGAGACACACAGCCAGCTTGTGACACACCCGTGTCCTGACCCAGTGCCAGTCCCTGGCTTCTCTTTCACTGATCTCTACTAAGGCCACCCTTGAGTCAGTAGTGGGAGATCAGATTCTCTGCCGTTTTGTTGCACACGGCATTGCTGACTTTGCACTTGCCATAATATTTATGTAAGCATTAGCTGTAAGAGGTCGCCAGTTTTGAAAATCAGTTTGTTTGCTTCCGTAAGAACTTTATAAATCTTGTGTTTATAAAACGACTTTCAATGGCTGTCTTTGGAAAGGTTCAATCAGGCAGTTAACTAATGGCATTTGAAAAACAGGGAAAGAGAATGTGATCACCAGACAGCTTCCTCTGTCAGTCACGCTGTGATAAAAGTTTTCGTAATTATTTTGAGAATTTTAAATACTGCATTTAATTGTGGGCAGCACAGTCCTCTGGAGAAGGAAAAGATACCTTCACCTGAGAATCTTATTAAAATGCCAATTTCGGATTCAGT